CTACACTGAGAATTTTGGATGGTTCCTTCTAGTTTATCTTGACCAGCACAATCCTTAATTTTATTCTGACATTAAACATTCTAGCCAGTCACAGTGGCATATACCTGTAATTTCAGCACTCTGGAAGGCTGAAGCAGGAAGATCAAAAGTTCAAGCCCAGCCTGTACAATTTAGTGACTTAGGGAGAACCTGTCTCAAAATAAAAAAAGGGACTGGGGATTTAGCTTATTGTGAAGGCCCTGGTTTCAATCCGAGAACTGCAAAATAAAAATTCACTTAAGTGCTGAATTACCTTCATTATGTGGACATATACTTTATTCAGCCAATTTTTTAGTGTTGAGTATTTAACTGTGACCCATTTAAGAACTTTCATAACCAGTATAGTAAGGAACATATTTTAATTAAATGTTTGCTCACATTAATGCTCATTTACTAAAGATACAATCATAGAAGGGAAAGTCATGTTAAAATGCTGAATTATCCTACAAAAAGGTGTTACTGTTGACAACACTGACAAGAGCATAAACAACATGTGATTTATTTATTTGATACAAATATTCTACCAGTCTACTTTTGCCAAGCTTAAAGGTAAAAATGGTCCTTTGTGGTTTTTAATTATAAATGCATGAGTTAAATACTTTTCATATTTGTATTTCCTCTCTTGCTAATTATCTTTTTAACAATTTATTTTTAAAGATTTCTCCATTTGTTAATTATGTAATTATAAATATTAGTGAAAAATGATACTAAGCTAAGCTTTGCAATAGGCACTATACATATTTTTTCAACCAATAATTTAATTTGAAATGTTCCACTGTTACTTAGATTTCTAATATATAGATGTGTTAGTTGTTTTGTTTTGAAGGTTATCAAATCTATATATATTTTCCCCTCTAAATCACACTATATTTTTAATTCCCCAATTATATACATACTTTTGTTTTCTTCTAGTATTTTATGATTTTGTTTTTGTAAATAAATCTCTGATTCATGTGCTTTATAAATTGTATACAGTATAAAGCACAGATCTGTTTTTCCCCAAAGGATGGTCTTTCTTATAGTTTATTGACTAGTCCTTCCTTTTCAAGTTAAATTTAATTACATAGTTAGCTATATATCAACTTCTCAAAAAATATTTGAAGCTAGACTTCAGTCTTGTCCTACTGACCAATCTGTCTATGCACAAGTCAATACCAACCTTCTTTAATTATTTTTATACTCTTATACTCTTTGATAACTCATATCGTCATGTGTTGGTATTCGCTTTCTTTTCATTTTTCTTGCCTAGGTTTTAGTATTTAGCTTTTCAAGTTGAACTTTAGAAGAAGCTTACTTTGACCTTCATCTTTTCCAGGAACATTAATCAAGTGTTATTTAGCATTCTTTCTTTCATTCATTCATTCAACAAATATTTATTGAGCACTTGGTATGAGCCACGAAACCTTCTGGATACTGAGGACACAAACAGAAAAGGAACAGAATTTTGTGCCCTAGTGGTTCTTATGTTGTAGTGAGAGAAAGTGAAAAATAGTTTGCTAAATCGTAGTAAGCGTTAAGTAGAAAGAATAGGGCTGAGAAGCGGGTTTTGACCTAGCTGTATTGGTGGCTTTCAATTCGGGTTCCACCACGTGGAAGTTAAAATGTAAGGGGAAGCGGAAGCGGAAGAGGTCTACTGTGGGAAGCTGGTAAGGACTGCGGAGAGAGGGAGCAGGAAGGGACAGGCTCAACTTCCGTCTTCAGTGTTGATGGGCTCTGACAGCCACCAGAAAGGAGAGGCATAAGCGTCGGAGCCTCGTTTAAAAATAATAATAAATACAAGGAGGAGAGAAGGGGGATCACAAAAGAGGACAGAATGAATAAAAAGAGCCTCCCATTCCATGTGGCTCTGAGAAAGTCTGGGCCCTGCCTTTGTGTGGTGGGTGCAGTGAAAGCTGTGGGTTCCTCTCCCTCCACCCCCTGTCCCTTCCTCCCCCCCTCCTTTCCTGTTTCTTTCTCCCTTTCCACAATTCTGTCTTCCTTCCTCCCTCTCCCCCACCCTCTCCCCTCAGAGCTTTGCACAGAACTCATCTCTAGCCATTTTCCATTTTTTCATTTTGAGACAGTGTCCCTGCTAAGTCATTCAAGTTGCTCAGGTTGGGCTCAACAGTCAAGATCCTCCTGCCTCAGCCTCACAGAGTGCTGGGTTTAAAGCATGTGTCAATACCTCCAGCTCTTTCTTCTTTCTCTTGTGTTAGTTTTATTCTTTACAATCTTTTAAAAGAGAAAAAAGTGAGATCTGCCTGTGCCTTTTCTTGCTACGCCTCTAATGTCAATCCTAACAATCACATATCCCTGGCCAAGGGTGTCCATTCTGATGTGATACCAGTTGCCTGGGTTCACCTCCCAGCTCTGCCTTTGGCAATGATGGGACACAGTCAAGCAGTTTCTATAACTGTAAAATGAGGGCTGTTCTTATAATAAAACATCTCATAGGGTCAGTGTGAAGATTACTTGAGCTAATATTTGTAAAGCTTTTGAAGCAAGGCTTGGCACACAGGAACTGCTAATTTATTAATGAATAAATTACATTGACTCACTACTTTATCCTTTACAAAGCGTTCCACATTAATTTTCTACCTTAGTTATCATGACAACCCCAAGAGGCAAACGATCCTCATGCCTGCTTTACACAAGATAAACCTGTGACTCCAACAAGTTGACCCGAACTGGTGAGTGGAAGGTGGGAGATGCAAGTTCCACTCATGAACCCACCTCTCTTCCACCCATCTAGATAAAGCCAGGGACTTGGCCTTGCACACCTCAGCTTTCTCACATAGGAAATAGAGAAAATATTTGAGAAATAGAGAAAATCTGTCCAGCCTCCATCTTAAGGCCACAGCAAGATTCAAAGTGTGCTGGTGTTGGTGACACACTCTGAAAGCTTATGAAATCATCCACATATACAAAACATCATGTGCGTCAAAGATATCTACACTCCCACCTTCTTTGCTTATACAAGTAGGACATGCATAACAGATGTAAAAGTAGCTTCCAAATTTCATAAGAAGCCCCATAAATTTTCGTTGTTGTTGTCATTTTTTGTTTTCCTTCAGAACATATCTTCCAGTATCATCACGACATAAATATTATTATCTTTGCATAAGAAGAAAAAAGATCTTATATTCATCCCCAAACAGAAATCTGCTTTCCAATTGGCTTCTCTTTTAGATGGTGAAGTGTAGGTAACAGAACACAACAGAATTTTCCACAAGCAAGATTTTCCGTGGCAAAACCAAATCTAAACAGGAAAGAGAAGGAACTGAAAACTTCCCTTGGCATTTTGCTCTTCATTAACAGTGTGATTGTGTGAGTCACCTGGGGAAAATAATCAAATTTAGGAGGGAAGGAGACTAATCCAATTCTGGTTCCCATTACCAGAACTGTTTCTATAAATACATATTTCTCCAGATTCTAAGAATTGTCCCCTGAACTCTTGACATTTTTAATTCATTGCATTTAGGTTTCTTCTTCTCCAACAAGAAATGAATCTATTTGTTAACCAGTCTTTTCTTGATAATTAGCCACTTTAAATTTGCTAAAATCTCCAACTAGAAATTGGAAGATGTCCAGATCACAACTGCAGCCCGGATTGGTGAATGTGGGAGACTCGCTTAAACAGACTCCCTTAAAGCTCAGGAAGGAGACCAAGCAGCTACATTTTGGAGTCCCCTCTCCCTTTGCAAGTGAGAGGAAGGTTGGGGGATTCAGATAAAAAGAGAGAGAGAGAATGAGAATGAATTTTCTGAGGGCCAACAGACTTAATCTTTCATGAGCTTCATTCTCCCCTTGCTTTGTGTAGGGAGCAGTCTTGGTTAGCAGAGAGAGGATTGATAGGGGAGACAAAGAAAGGAACACTCAATGGATGTGCAGGAGAGGACTCTGGCAGACTTGCCATTTGGGGAGAGCATATCAATGGCCCTGGATGCCAGTGATACCTATTTGGGCCTTCAGAGCAGAGCTGTACCCCAAAGTCTTGTGAACATAGGCTGTTCTCAGCCCAATTTAGTGAGGAAAATTATCACCAAGCCCTGTTGCTCTGCCCTCATATGGCTGCACTGGTACAGTACAGAGAGCCAGCAACAGGTGAAGGGAACAGGTGATTACTGGGCTTATGATTACTACGTGTTTATGCTTATTTATAGACACAGGTGCACAAATACACACATGCACGCAACCACATTTAACTCACTAGAAAGTTAATTCCACAAGGGCAAAATTTTTTGCCTGTTTGGTTCGCTATCCCTGTTCACGTGACAAGAAGACAGGGAATATTTGTGAAATGAATGCATGAATCTATGCAGTTCAACAGAGATGTGATAAATACCCATCTGGCTTTATGACAAGGCAGGCAAGTTTCAGAAAAGTTAAAGGGTAGACAAGCTGGGATTCAATTGCAGGTGGGTCTTGATTCAGCAGCCAGTGCCTCTCAGGGTACCATGTGGGCCTCTCATACGGACTGGAATGAGTGCACAGGGACTTGAAATCACATTCTACAAAGCCTCAGTGAGGAAGTGAAGCATTTTTTGATGGCAGGAACGCCTGTAGCACACCACGGTCAGCCCTTTCTGCTTCTGGGGCCTCTGCTCTCCGGCAGTGAGGCAGTGAGATGAAGGGATCAGACCAAGGGCCAATAATTACACCTAGGCCACCACTCCATCCTCCCACTCATGGGAAGGTAAAGACTTTCCTCGCTCATCACCACAGCCTTCCGACTGAGGTGGGACAGGGACACAGGTATCCTCAACAGCACTCCACACAGCTCCTCCCACAGACTGAAGCTGGGGCGCATGATAGAGGCTCCTCTCCTTGTCTTCTCTTCACTAGGTCACCTCCAAAGTCCCTCACAGTTATTGTTGTTTATAAATTCATCGTTGCTTTTATCTTGCTCTGTGTATTGCATAAGAGATAATGCACTGTGAGCAGTAAAAGCCTTTAGTCTCCCCTGAAAGCAGTAGCATAAAAACCAGGAGCCTTTAGACTCTGGTTTATGGAATCCTCTATTAAGGCTCCCTTCCTCATAGGAAAAAAGAATTAACTACAAATCATCCAAATACCGTTACCAAAAGATGTCCTTTTCTAGGACGAAGGCAATATCTATCAAAAAGATCACATTTCAGAAATAAGCTAAAAAGTTGGGGCAGATTTTAAAGCACAGGCCTCATGAATCAGCTCACAGTCAACATTTTCTTGACTGACACATCCAGGGAAGATTGCCATGAAACAAGACAACACGTTGAAAATAACATTATCTAAGCAGCCTCACGTCTGGATTTTGGCAGAGCTAGAAGAATATAAGGTAAGAGCGTTGAGGGTTTTTCGTTTGTTTCTTTGTTAATGTTAGCCTCATGGCTGGGTGTTGGGCTTTTCATGGTTTCAGAAGAGTAAGAGAGAAGATTTTATATTGATTTTTTACAAGTTTACTTTTTAATGACACAAGTAACCTTCAGTATCTCATAAAATATTCCACCAATGCCGTAAAAGTATAAAGCTCACATCTCCGGCTGAGAAATTCTAACATTTGCTGCTCTACCTGGGGTCATTGGTCATAGACACAGAAATCAACCCTCATTAATTTCGGTAGGAAGGGAAGGTGATAGGGGAGTGTGGGATACTCAAGGCGGGTCCTGTTGGCTGAAGACCCAGGTTCAGGAAGCACTAAAGGAATCATAGCCCCAATCCTGCTTTGTCAGCACAAGCCCTGGGCCCCGCCCAACCCCATCCCTCACACACTGCCAAGCTCAGTTTCCCTGGCTATCCTGTGGCCAGCATAGTTGCTATGAGTCAATGTCTGACCCTCTCCATCCCCTTGCACCATGGTCTCATGACACAAAGTCTTAGGCAGGAGCTTCTGATTAGTCCTACTAAAGTTCTGGCCCAGAGTCCAGATTTTACAGGGTGGAAATAGAAAATGTCTGCCCGCTTCCTGAGCCTCTTCTCAAAAAGGAAAAAATTGGGAGTTGGGCAACCAAAATGGCAGTTACAAATCTGTCTGCTAAATAAAATGTGCAAATGAAGGACAAAGTGAATATTTTATGTTGGTAAAATAACTCAATAAGAAATAACTATAACTTATTAGTCACTTGCTTTTAGGCAATCCACCATCTGAAATTTATAATATAAAATATTCCCACTACCTAATTTAATTCCTTATAATACCCCTAATGGGATAGTATCATGTTAGGACTAAGAAAAGAGTAACCCACTGAGAGTCCAGTAAACTCTTGAGCCATAATTCAAAAGGAAAGCCTTTTGTAAAACCAATCCTAGGTCCCTCACTGTTAACCTTCCCTGTCTCTCTGTAAGCATTGCTACTCTAGCCTGGCTCTTTGTTAGCCAGGTGTAGGATGGGTGTTGGTTTTGGCATTTTCTTTCAGTCAACATTCAGTGAGTGCTTACATATAGGCCAGCATCGTACACACCACAGAACAGATAGGACAGATGCACATGCCAATCATGGACTACAATGAAATACAAACAAGGGACGAATACAAGTCATATCCTGAAAATTCTTTGAGAAATCTTTCGTGCTTAACCTGTATTCTCACTACTTAGCACAGTAACTGGGCAATCATAGCTTTAAAGTAAACTTGTAAAGGATAGGCAAGAATAACTACCCCTTCTCAAGTACTTCCAATGAGAATGTCCTCTTGCAATTCTCTATATACTGTCTGCATTTGTACCATGCCTTGGATCACAAGTATGAGGCATACCCAGGACACAAACCCCAGCAGATCGCTCCTTATTTAGAAGGAGGGCTCCACCTTGAGGTGTCCACCAAGTACAAGCTTGTTGTTGCAGTCTGGGCTTCACACTGGCATCTCTCAACTCAAGTATGAAGAAAAATTCCCTTTCAACAATTGTTAAGAGAGAAGAGACTTCTCTTTCAGAATTTCCCAGCAAAACTCTGCCTCCACACACACACACACACACACACACACACACACACACACACACACACACCGACCTTTTGCATCTGACTGGCAGGAACTGATCACATTCCCATTTCTAAATTGCTTCCCACTGCCGAAGTGCGAGTGAAGGCATGATCGATCAGCACTGACCAAAGTAGCCTGTCCCATCAGACCCAGAAAAGTGTCAAGAAGGGTGGTACATAATGTTTGATGGGGCCAGAGCCTATTGCTGAGGTCAGTTCAGCTTCCCCCAGAATATGCAGGCTCTTGGGAGACAGGTAGATACCTGAAGTAAATGGAGGATGGGTACTGGTGACGTATGGTGGGTAGGAGTATATACAATGTGTATACACTGGACAGAGGGATGACTTGCATCCCTGTGGGGCAGGGCAGGACCGTGCAAGATTTTGTCAAGCTACTCAGAAAGGTGAATAATTTCAAACATGAATTTCTAGAATTTTTCCATTTATTTTTTGAAACTAAGGTTGACTATTATTAACTAAAACTGAAAAATGGGCAGGTGGATGCTCTATATCCACTACAAACCCTGTTTTACCAGGACTTCCCAAACTCTCAAGATGAAATCCGAGTGCCTTGGCAAGGAACAAAGCACCCTCCTTTCCTGGCTCACCTCCAGCTGCAAGTCTGCCACTGTCCTTGTCCCCTGGAACCATTCCCACCTCTCAGGAGCATGACTCAGTTCACCTCCCTACATTTGGAGAAGCCATTTTGTGCCTCACAAACTTTTCAACACTGGGGAAGGACAGCTGCTTTCCTCAACTCTGCCACCCACCGCACTCCCTGGTGAGATCCCCAGCATCCCCATCCCAGGGACCCCCATGGGACTGTGCCCGGAAGCCCCCTCCCAAGCCTGCAGCAGAACCTTCCTGTCCATTCCTGCATAACTAGGCACAGCCCCTGCAAGGCAGGCAGAGCCATCTTTGAATAAAAGAAGAAAACGGAAGTGAATGAGACCTAGTGCATGTATTCTCTCTCAATTACCTGAGCCTTTTCTTCCCTACCCTTAACACAGTTGAAATTACATATTCATTAACATAATCATTCTGTGTCTATTTTGCCTTTAAAAAATATGTTTTTCGGGGTCAAGAGGCCATGTCTCTTGTTCACCCCAGCACCTAATACAGGATCCAAATATTTAGTAAATATCCCTTCAATGAATTTAATGTAAGGTTGCCTAAAACAGCATATACTGTTTTTTCTATCATATCTATTTCCTTCACTGAGGAAAAAATATTGCATATAGGAACAAAGAAGAAATCTAGGCTTTATTCCAGGCATCTTTTCAAGACTTTGATTGCTGGAAAGAGGAAAAAACGCAGTCACATGATTTTGTATTTAGAATATTAATTTTCCTTAGGTCATGCAGAAACAGCGATACTTTCCTTAATGAAATGCTCTTGTACTAATTTCTATTTGTATGCAAAAGACATCATGGGTTTAACACATGGAACAATCTCCCCATCCCTTGCATACCCCTATCTGCCTAGCAAGGAAAGTAGAAGGCTTCTGATTTATTACACATAAACAAAATGAATAAGATAACATTTTATTAGTTAGAAACCATTATAAAAACAGCAATAAAACGAGGCAGTACAAGTGGAAGGCACTCTTATCAATAAATCACGGAAAGTTTAAGACCCTGGTGCATGTTGTAATAATAAAAAAGATAATTAAACGGATCAAATTGCAGAACTGTATCATTTGATCAAGATGCATCCTAAAACCAATAGGAAACATCAGGGCAGTGATTGTCTGTGAACCTATAACCTTTTTGGAAAGAAAAGAAGTTTGAGACTCAAGTTTTTTGAGAAAATGTGAGAAGAATCCATTTTTAGCTTGTGTGGTGTTTGAAACATACAAATCCAGCCCCCCCGCAAAGATGTCTTTCCTTTCAAATCAGTATCTTTTAAAGTCTTACTTCTGATGGTGAGCAGTAAATGGCTTTCTGAAATTAGCCACGTCCATCCTGTCAATTATGGCTGATATCGTAACACACAATAGTGGAGGAGAAAGACAATTTCATGACCTTTTTCCTTGAATCTTGGTTTTTCTCCTCTTGACTGAAAATCTTCATTTCATCCTAGAAAATCCTTATGACACACTGCAAACACTTTCGATACAAAAGCATCGCAGGGAAACAGAGACCTGGGAGGTTTTTTATTTCCCAGAGAGCCGTAGTCAGTCTTTAGAAAGTAAATCCTATACTCTGCCCTCCCCCACCAACTCCCTCCAGGTCAACCGCTCCCCTCCCCCACCCTGGTCAGTTTAATATGAGTCACTGCCTGGGCTTTGTTGTAGGGAATAACATTTTCTCCTGGGAGTCAGTTCATGCAAAACACTCCCCGCTGAGAGAGTGGAAATTTACCCAGAAGACATTCTCCCAGCAAGCAAGACCCCGGAGGAAACCTGATCAGAATGTTTAAAGACTTCCCCTAGCTCCTTCTCCTAACTCCTCCAAAATATTTCAGAGAACAAAATATAATCAACCACGTATTTAAGGCTTATAGCACCTGGTGACAACAGTCGGTGAGATAAGGTCTAATTTAGAAAGAAAACTGAAAACGAGTACATTAATTCTGATATTTTGTCTGCCACTCTTTCGCCTACAGTGATTTCTGCCTTGTCCTCTCCCTCCGCAGTTTGGTTTATAGTGTTTCTGTATCCTTTAGTTGATCAATGCATGAACTTTTTTTTAAACAACTGCCACATACTCAATAAGTTACATTAAACCAAACAGCTATTATTTTAAAGCATTTTTATAAACTCAAATGTATTTTCTGTAGCAAAAGTGACATCGATTTACCACTAAAATAATCCATGTGATCAAAAATAGTATAAATCACAAGAAAGCTCAGTTGGGACTTCTTTGTAAAAAGTTTTGAAGCAACCTCATCTTGTAATACATACACTTACACTTACAATGTGACAATATAATTATTGCAATGTAATTATTGTAGTGTAATCAATGTGATGTACACAATAGGCAATAAATATGTACACACACACATATATACCTATACATATATACACATTGTTTTCTTTTTTAAATGTTTTACCAGTATATTGTGCTCACTTTGGCCACACATATACTAAATATGCTTGCAATACATAGTAATTACATTCGTCGTGGGGAGCTGATATACATACATCTCATGTCTTCTAGATGTATTCTTTAAAAGCTAATGCTAATTACCATAGAAGACACGGAAATGAGGGAGCCCAGTTGGATATTTTGGGTCTCTCTCATCCGCTTACCACATGGATGCTCCGTGTTAGAAGGGTGAACCATCTCACCCAAGGCAGTGCCCACTTCGAAGAGGGCCTGCACAGAGCTAGCCAGAACCAGCTGACCAGAAAAGATATC